CTCATATCAGTTCAATCTGGGGGAGTTGCTCTTTGTTAGGAACTTAGTTTATTTCTCAAAAATATAAGGAAAGAAACACAACTCCAGGAAGGAAAAATTGTGTCTTTACCTAACCCAATTCAAAACATTAGCATGCGCATACCCTGAATATCAACAAAGGATCCCAATTAATTACTCAGCATTTTTATATGGCGGCAATTATTAAGTATACAGAACTTTGACCTCAGGAATTATTTTCCAACTTGAATTTTATACTGAAAGCATCTCTAACTTTGAGCCATCATTCCGAAGATTACTCATTGCTTTTACTTTGTCTCCAAACTATGTAGGCAATACAAAATGTAGACCTCTCAATAGCTTTCTTTTTATTTAAGAATGTAGTGCAAATATCACACATAAATTGGCAATGAAGTTGGCAAAGCTTTTTCCCCTTCCAATTGAATTATCTTTAATAATAAAACATAACATCCTAATTAGACTGGACAGCCTTCTGAGATGAGGCCAGGGAAGAAAGGGAACCCTGTGTCTCTCTCAGGTGCCTGCCAGCAGCCAGAAGGAAGCCCAGGTCCTGGGTGCTAGAGGGAAGCCAGTGCCAGCAGTCAGGGAGAGGAATGCCTACTCTTGCATGAATTTCATGCATCGGGCCTCTAGTATGATATAAAGACAATGAAATAGTCTCTATGTTCTCAAAGATATTAAATAGGAAAAAAAATAGAAAATGTAAAATTCTTCTGAAATAAAAAGACCTGCTATGTGAATATGACAATGGCCTAGTATCCAGACAAAAATATAAAGTATTTGTGTTGAATAACAACTCTATAAATACGTTAAATGATTTAGATAAGTGGGTAAAAATATTACTTAATGAGCTTAATAGTTGAATATATCATAGCTATTATGGCACACTTCCTCTTTTCTTACTATACTGCATTAGTAGATTCCTTTTTAGTTCTAAAATTACTAGAAATTCAGCATATTCACCATCAAAAGTGTCTTAATGACTTAGCCAAAAAATATATTTAATCTCCTATATAAGCACTGCTATTTAATCAGTAATCATAAATTAATTATCTTTCATATACTGTATATCATAAATATATACATATATATGACTATGCCTTCAAGGAATGCATAGAAAAGCAGACACGTAAACACATAAATTATAATACAGGCCATAAAAAAAGATATAAACAAGTGTCATAGATAAAAGAATAAAGCAGCAACTATTCCGCTTTGGGAGATCAATTAAAGTATCTAAAAAGAAGCATTTTCTGACCCCAGTCTTGTGGGAAATATACAATTCACTGGGAAGGTAAAATATAAAAGAGAGGGGTTTTCCAGATGAAAAGAATAAAGCTGTGTCATCTTTATGAATAAAGCGGTATGTTTATGAAGATATATCAAATCCCTGGATGGCTGGAGCATTGGTGTCATGGCAGGATGTGGCAGGAGAGGAGACTTAAGCCATAGTTCGTTACTAGTCTATATATAATGTTATGCTGAAAGAACGACTTTTAGACTAAATACTATAAGCAACAAGGGCATGCATTGGATTCCAAAGACGGGTAAATAATGCAACTCATTTCTCAGGGGAACTGGTCTAGTGGAAATTGAAAGAAAGACGATGAAGAAAAGAGGCTGAACATTTGAGATCACATAGGGGACTCTTCCAGTTGCCTAGTCAGGAGATGAAAAGGTGGGGGAAGCAAGAAATGTTTGAGGCAGAAACAAACTTTGAAACCAATTGGACATATATTAAGAGAAAACTATGTCAGTAAAACTAAAAGAATTTGTATTCAAACTGTTTTAACTTCTAGAACAGCAGGTCTTAACCTATTTGTGTTACAGATATACTTGAATATCTGATGAAAACCATATTCCTACTCACATGTGTTCATACTCTGAATTCTCCATTCATTTTCAGGAAATCCATATATCCTAGTTAAGAACTTTTATGCTAGCCCAGCTGGTATGGCTCAGTGGTTGAGCACTGACCTATGAACCAGGAGGCCATGGTTCAATTCCAGGTCAGGGCACATACCTAGGTTGCAAGCTCAATCCCCAGTAGGAGGCAGCTGATCAATGATTCTGATCATTGATGTTTCTATCTTTCTCTCTCCCTTTCTCTTTGAAATGAATACATATATACACTGTGTGTGTGTGTGTGTGTGTGTGTGTGTGTGTGTGTACTTTAGAGGCCCAGTGCATGACATTCGTGCACAGGGAGCAGGGGGTTTCCTTAGCCAAGCCTGCACCCATTCCAATCCAGAACCCCTTGAGGGATGTCCGACTGCTGGTTTAGGCTAAATCCCAGGAATCGGGCCTAAACCAACAGTTGGCTATCCCTCTCACAATCCTTAACCACTGGCTCCTAATTGCTCACCTGCCTGGTCACCCCTACTTCCCTCCCTTGCCAGCCTAATTGCCCCTCACTGCCTCTGCATGCTGGCCTGATTTCCCCTTACTGCCCCTTGCTGCCTGCCAGATCATCTCCAACTACCCCCTCCCAGCTAGTCTGGTGGCTCCTAACTGCTCCTGCCACTGGCCTAGTCACCTCTTACTGCACCCTCCCAGCCAACCTAATTGCTCCCAACTCCCCCTCCCCCCTGCTGGCCAAGTTGCCCCCAATTCCCCCCCTGCAGACTAGTTCACTCCCAACTTGCCCCCCTCTGGCCTGGTCACCCTATGCAGCCTGCTGATCAGTCATTTGGTCATCCCTCACTAACACCCCCTGCCAGCCTGGTCATAGGCAGCCATCTTATGAGGGTGTGATGGTTAATTTGCATATTACTTCTTTTTTAAAGAACTTTTCCTCTAAAGAAAATTGCTTGAGGAGAGAGTTGTATCCAATTAGAATCTATTTGCATATTATCCAAAAAACAACTTGATATAAAGTAGGCAGTTCATACCTTTTATTTAGTGGAACTGAATATTCCATTACAAACTGAATGGTTTCATTTTCCCAAACATTCTGTGATGCATCACAGAATCTCCTCCCCCAACTAAAGTATGAAATTTAATATACTTTCTTATATCCACCCATTGAGAATACTTAAAATAATCTCCCCTTTATCTCTGTGGTTTTCTTCCAGTCATCATTATTTATGTCCACTCCTTCAAATTTGTGGTTATGTTTATGATAGTATCACAAGAGAACCAAACCAAGAAGCACTCTCAATAGGGTATTTCCTGAGAGAGAGCAATGGGCATAATATTGAGAGGAAAACAGCTTTAGCTGTGATGCAAGGCCAAATGAAGAGTCCAACATCTTTACTTTGAACTGCACTGTGCCATTTTCCCCCATTCCCCCCCCAGTTTTATCTTTTTGAGGGGAGGCCAAAAGGTGATATTCATTTTCATAAGTAACATAAACTCACAGTAGAGGGAGAAAGGGGAAATTATAGATAGCATGTTTCAACTTGCCAAATTTAAAAAAAAAAATGTCCGGAAATGAAATATGCCTGTGCTCTTGGGAAGATCTTATAATGTGTGTAAGCATGGATTCCAAAGCTAGACTCCCTGGGTAAGCCTGGTCATCCTACATAGTAGCTGTTTATTTAAGCTCTCTGAGCCCAGTTCCCTCTCCTGTAAGATGGGATGGATAATAACTCCTCATTGGAATACTGTGACAATTAAAAGAGTTAACATATGTAACATGCTTAAAATCTATAAAGTGCTAAATGTTAGCTAAAACATTATTCTTGGTAAAAAAAAAATATCTATCTATCTATCTATCTATCTATCTATATATATATATATATATATATATATAAATTTTAACTATTTGCAATATATATATCTATATATATATATTGCAAATAGTTAAAATTTTTACCTGTAAGGTTTTCAAAATGCTGAATGAGAGTATTTAAATCTAATGTGACTATCAAAGATTGGTGTTTTATTTCACAGCTATTAGAAGACATCTGATTCTTCTCGCTGATTTAACTCCCCATATAGTAACGCAATCACATAAACATGTGGACATATTTCAGTACCAGGCACATTTATGATGCACAATAACTTCCTTGAGAAAGAAAAGTACTTAAACAGGATCAGAGCTGTCTTTAAAAATGGGAGAACGTGTGATAACACATTTTTGTGGTGGAATATGGTTAAAGTGAACGGCACTGTCATGCTTGAAGGCGGAGAGGAAGAGAGGGCACAGAAACGTGGCATCGGCCCCAGCAGCCATGTTGTAAAGGTGAGGGTGGCTTTACTGGCAGCTGAGCACCCTGTCGCCCTGCCAACTAGCTGATTCTCCGTATTGAAGTTCCTAAAAGCCTTATTTGTGTGTGTCTGCTGCTTACGCTTCAGCCAAAGATGCTATGCTGCCTTCTTGCTTCTCATCCATGAAACCACGGATTCCCAGTGATCCAGACCTCAGGCTGAGAGGCCAGATAAATTATCCTGAGCTTCACATTCTGGAACAGGATGCACCAGGGAATTACGGAATTCTCAAAACAACAACATGAATGGGACTGAGTTAGAAATTGGTGTGGTCCTATTTGAAAACTATAGTCTCTATGAAATATATTCTTCTATAATATATCCAGTATTTTAAGGAATACTGACATCCAAACCAAGCAAAGCAAAAAATGGAAAGAAAACCCACAATGATTTATTATTAATGGAAGTCTTCAAACTATGTTGTCACTCTGTTTGGATAAAAAAACACCTTTTATTAGAAATAGTATAACATCTAACTTCACTGTGAATTTTAAATGTTACTTTAAAATTATTCTTATATTTACATGTTCTTGTTTTTTCCCCCTCCAATTAAAGCATTTCAAAATCAGAGTTCTGGAAAAACAAAAAAATAGCATATCTTTTACTCCCTTCTGAAATCAATTTACTTAGAATTCAAAGATGTGGGGAATGAATCTTGTGTATGACTATTAAGTAGATGACACTTATAAAGCAAAGGACTGAAGCCAAACTACTAGAAGACTGAACTGGTCGAAAGTGAGTGTAAGCACAATAGACCTTGAGAAACCTACCATTGTATTGTGCTGGCAAGTGGGAGTCTTATGGCCACAAGTCTCTTGCGTCAGCAGAGAAACTGGCTGAAATTCCTCAGAGTGAGGCTTGTTGGGAAAACTCACATGCAAGGGAAGGTGAAAGGCTGGGAGCCCGTCACTCTCCTCTTCTTCCACTTTCTGTCTGCTTGTCACCATGGCTACCTCTCCATCTGCTTCCCCATACGGAGAGGCTGGTCGCTTGGAAGACATCCTGGAAGGAACAAAAGAGGAGAAAATAATGAAACCTCCACATAAATCCTTAATGCTGTCATTGTGTGGTTAGGGGCCATTGTAACAGAAATGCCTTTTTTGTGCTGGCAGAGAGCAGGAAACCATCCAAATACCACTGCAAAGCACACACAATCAGAAACAATGGCCAAGCAGGTAGCAACAGAACAGTGCTTGTTTGTTGTGAGAATAATACACTAATATAGCACTCCCTTGTATTCTGGCTTCTTAAATAAGAGAATTCACCTAAGAATACTGCATAATGAAAGACCATTCCATTTTAAAGAAAAATACCCATCTAGTTTTACACTCTGATAGACCTCATTGAAAACAGAACATCTATGTTTATGAATAGCAAATACGGTTGGGAGTTAAAAAAAGAGAAATAAATAAAATTTATTTCATAAAAAAGAAACCACATAAATGATTGCCATTTTAAAATGTGCATTTTATTAAAAGACAACTGTGGAATATAGAGATACTGGTTATATGTAAACCTCAGAACACATGACAAAAAGTTTGAAATTTGTTTAAAGCTTAAGAACTAAAATTTTAAAATCATTATTAATCTTGAAAAAAATGGGTAAATTTCCTTCCCTCAATTGCTAAATCACACAATTTAGGCATTTATTTTTTAATATCCAATTTGCAAAATAGTAAAAGAGATGAGGATATAAACATATTTTAATTTTATTTCCACAGTTCTATGTAAGATTTAGATATGGTTTATCAGAATAACTAAATCCTTAGATACCTAAGTAAAAGGACAACAAATCAAATAAGGATGTTTTGTTTGAGTAAGCTGATGCCTATATGATAATGCACTTGATAAATTAAACATTTTTTGTACTTACATCTGATGGAGAACATAATCAGAGGTTAAAAATATGTGCAAATATTTTTAGTTAGAGTTCTTTTTTCTTTCACTAAAAGTTTTTCATAGACATATGCAGAGTTAAACATTTTAATAAAAAATAAACACTATTTACCTCTTGATCTGACCTTGAAAAAGCTGTACGTTTCGTTCAACAAAGAGTGTTTACAGAATCATCCATTCTTATCTAGACTAGACTAGACAATATATTAACTAATGGCAACACCATTTCCTTCATACATATCACTGACTTGTAAATTTAAAATATAAAACTAAAAGAAAAATGCCGCTATTCTTCCTTGAATAATACTATTCTTAGTGTTAAAAGTTTCAAAAGAGAGGTATTTGTGTACTGCAGACATTCTATTAAGAAATAATAGCACTGTAGGAAAAAAAAATAAGGACTTTGGAAACAGACAAACACGGATTAAAAACTGAATCCAAATATTTACTAGTACAAACTGTAAGGCTTTAATCTCGCCACCTCAATTTGCTCCTCTTTAAAGTAAGATGTAATATTAACTTCTAATGCTTTTGTGAGAATGAACTCTATATCATATGAAAAATGACTTGTAGATCATTTAGCACAGACACAAAACAATAGCTGTTGTTTATTTTATAAACTTCAAAACTATAGTATGACCCACACCCTTCTCAAAAAACACAACCATACAACTCCCAAATGAGGAAAGCAGATTGCCTTCTAATGTTAAACTGTAAAATCAACATTAAATACAAAGGCTCCTAAAAGAGAAATGGACCATGACCATTATACTTGACAATAACACTGCATTAGCAAGTGTTAAAGAAGATATGTGAACAGTTGAGGGTCTTGATCAGCTAAAGAAGAGAAGAGGAAATGTTGGTGGTTACCATGTAAGTAGGCAAGTAAACTGAGCCAAGACATTTCAGCTATCTTGAACTATTCCTGATCTCATTACCTAGGTTTACTTCAAGTAGACTGTATAGTCTTAAGTATGGAGAAAGAAAATAAGGGGCTAGAGTTCACAGAATTATAATAGTTTTAGTCTCATCGACAAAACTAAATCTATCGCCAAATTGATATATTAAACTACACATAATAATGCTAAACATTAGGGATATTTAATTTCCACTGTTCTGGTTCCATTCTCTACAAGCAAACTTTTGATTTTCATATTTTAAAAAAATGAGCTGACAAAACAGATTTAAAATATTTAAGGTATTTGTGATTTATCAGAATAAATCAATAAAAGAATTTTTAATTATTTCTTGGTTCCACATGCAGTTAGACTTCAAGGAGATTAAGCATTTATTATACAAACCATAGTATTTATGGTCTGTGTGGACATTATCATTCTTGCTGGGATTACTAAATTGATATTCTGGTGTCTATTTCCCTCTTAGGTCCAGTCTCCTACTGTCTAAAAACTCCAGACTATTGGTAGGAGCCAGCCTCCATGTTATCAAAGCAGAAAGTTGGATCAACTGGCCTTTTCTAAGATACTACACAATTCTATCACTTTCAGAAAGAATTACCAAAAAGGTCATTCTTTTTTTTTTTAAATATATTTTATTGATATTTTACAGAGAGGAGGAAGGGAGAGAGATAGAGAGCTAGAAACGTCGATGAGAGAGAAACATCGACCAGCTGCCTCTTACACACCCCCTACCGGGGATGTGCCCGCAACCAAGGTACATGCCCTTGACTGGAATCGAACCTGGGACCTTTCAGTCCGCAGACCGACGCTCTACCACTGAGCCAAACCAGTTTCGGCAAAAAGGTCATTCTTTAATATAATTATTAATGATTATGAATAGTGAAAGTCCAAAAGTAGACACTAGGCAGGAAGTTATCACTATTCTCAAAACTTTTAGTCATTTCAATATCTAACTTATCTTTATGTGCAGCTGGGTAATCATTATATACAAATATTTATATCTATTTAAATATATATTTGATATATTTAAAATTCTATATAAATAGATATTCCTATGAAGCAAAAATCAGAAGGACTAAAACAATAAACATGAAATAGTCATAGTGCCAGAAGGCAACTGATCCTAAAATATAACATATTTCATGTTTATTTCAATTCTATTTTCAGAGACTTATAGAATGTTCTTAATATATTGGACTTGAGAGTATTTTTATATAATTCAGGTAAAAAGAATACTTAAAATATCTCAGTACAATAAAATAACTATAGTTATAGTTCAATAATAGGCACCTAAGTCAGAAAAAATAAAATAAATAACAAATTATGTAAAGAGCTATCAATCTGTCAGTCACATTATTTATGTTTAGCCTGACTTATATTAGTTCTAAAAATATTGATAATAAAATTCTCAACAACTTTAGATTTCTAATTTGTTACCTACTAAAGTGTTTAATTTTGGACAGAGAAAAGGCTCATTCATTTCTAAAAGCCTTAAGAAAGGAGTGGAAAATTCCATATATTATCTATCTGGCATATATAGGCTTCAAATTCCTGCAGCTTAAGCTACATGCTGTGTTGCAGTGGAAGGGTACTTGAGAACAAGCTGAGGGTCTAGATTAGGGTATGCTCTTATATACCCAGTAAGGAATGATTTCTGTGATTCCTATGGTAGATGCTAGACATACCAATGAACACAACTCAGACTTCAAAGAAAATGACATGAGATAAATAATAATAATAATCCAGTGTGAAACTAACTGGTGGATCTATGATGACATAATAAGAAACTTTAACTCAGCTTTGTATCTGGACAATAAAATATTTTTTAAAATATATGTTTTTGTTTATTTAAGAGAGAAAAGGAGAGGGAGAGAGAGAGAGAAACATCGATGATGAGAGAATCACTGATTGGCTGCTTCCTGCATGCCCCACACTGGGAATGAGTCTGCAATCTGGGTATAAGCCCTGACAGGGAATTGAACGGTGACCTCCTGGTTCATAGGTCCATGTTCAACCACTGAGCCACACCAGCCGGGCCAGAAAATCTTCTTGAAATAACTGATGTTTAATTCTGGGACTAAAGGGAATTTGAAATCATTAATAATTTACTGGTCATTTCCTATGTGCAAAATGTTTATCTAATGGGAATTAAAACATGTATTTGAGGTTTTTTACTTTAAAAAGTTTATGAATTAGCTGAGAAGGTTTTAAATAAAAGCAGGAAAGTAATGAAAGACAGTTCTAGTTAGGGTAAAATGGCATTATAGCCAACCACCTGAGGGTTTCCTGAGCACCAGAGATCTTGGAATGCTTCAGGGAATGGTTGAGATAAATGAAGATGAAATTTAGGAAGTAACAATAAAATTTAGGAAGTAAATCTCATGTAGGAAGTAATGATCAAAGCAAAGATGCAGAGATACTTTTAGAAAGCACAACCTAAATTTAAGTTTCAGTCTTACTTTAAAAAAATGGCAGATCTGAGGAATGTGGACCAAATCCTACATTACATAAATGGAATAGATAAGAAATAGCCAAGTCATGGTTCCATTCCTGGTCAGGGCATATGTCTGGGTTGTGTGCTCTATCCCCAGTAGGGAGCATACATGAGATAGCCTATGATTCTCATCATTGATGTTTCTATCTCTCTCTCCCTCTCCTTGTTCTCTCTGAAATTAATAAAATCATATTTAAAAAAAGAAAAGAAATACCATTTCTTGCAAGGAGCAACTTGTTTTTACAAGGAGTCGCTTTGCCTTTCCTTGTCCTGGAGCAATGTGCACCATCAGGCTATTCTAATACATGTATGAAAGTAATTTTAAAACTTCTGGAGTCCTCTGCTATTGGCCAAAAACTCTAAGTGCACTATAGTCACTCTGTAAGCAGGACATCCCCAATTGTATTTAGACACATGTAGCTTCCTTTGGGTAAGGTAAAGGGTGTGAGACAGCAACTGAAAACTAACAATGGTTCTCAACCTTGGCTGCAGGGGAGGGCAATTGGAGGTGACCAGGCCAGCAGGGAAGGGCAGTTATTGGAATTATATGAAGAGGCTTAAAAATAGTGCTACCTGGGTCATACTCCCTAACATCCTGATATGGTTGTTTTTTGAGCACACACGGGGTATCAGAAGTTTTTTAAAGATTCTAAGTGATCTAATGCTCAGTCAAGTTTACAAATCATTTACCTTAG